ATATATGCAATTAGATATACTTCTTCAGATTTTTTTTTCATCTTAGGGATTTCATTTATCAAAACTATTCAATTGTCTAAACAATTATTTCAGTATTTTCAGCTGCAGTGCTTTGTATTCTAGAAAATGAGATTCATTTCCAAATAAAGAACTGTTTGTTGTGAAAAATCAATGGAAATTGGTTACCCTTACAGCAAGGATTTAGGAAATGAGATTTCTGAGCAGATACGGGAAAAACAGTTAATGTCATGCCTGTGTTAGACTTAAAGAGAAATTCAGTATAGAAATATAATAGAATTGGTAAGTTAGAACCATCAAACCCGTATAGGTTATAGAAACATAGAACATAGAAACAGAGCGAGTCAGGAGGAGCCTCCCAGGCCATCTAGTCTGACTCCCAGCTCCAGCCGGCTCTGCTCATGACAGGAATTGGGGTGATATATATTCTGAGGCTAGAAATGTCAGCAGTGTTGACTTCTGTCCCCTCTTGTCAAATATATAAAAAGCATAATTGATGCATGAAATTGCATCTTTTAATTACCAGGGTGTGTCTTGGAAACAAATTTCACTAGAATGTCATATTTTGTAGTGTAATACATAGTGTCATCTTTAAAATTGGGGTGGGGGGACCCAGCAAAATCTACTTTCTTAGACTTGCCCTCTACTTTCTTGGACTTGTGGAGAACATCCCAACATCAAGTTGGGTTCTTGGTGGGGCTGAGATGACTTTTTCACCAGATTGCTCCCTAGCATTAGCCCATCGCAGTGTCTTCCACTGCCTAATACTTGCTGATTGGCTGGCTATTCTTTCCTAAAGCATGGAGATTTGAATTTGAAAAATATTTTACTCTGACCTTTGTGCAAATTCACGTTACTGTAATACACACACACACACACACACACAAACACACACACACAAGAAGTCAGAACTATACCACATGAGAATTAAATTTCAAGTGTAGGCAAGGGGAATGTTGGTTGATGTTTTGTTCTTTTGCTATTTTAAGGATTGAGCATCTCGAGGCAAACCGTAAAGTTTTTTAGACATACAAACTTAAAACACAAATGCACATGTGCACATAACCTAAATAGCTGTAAGAAAGCAATTGGATAGCTTTCAAAAACCTAACCTCATTTTTATAGTAGCTTCTCCAAGAGGCTGACAGGTCGTTTTGGCTCACTTTGCAATATCCAGAATTAGAAGTTTGTACTACCAATGGGTGTTAAGCTTTATTTTCCCAAGGGCCATTAGAAAAGTTTGACTTTTTAAAAAGTAATTAAATGGTTTTACTTCTAAGTCAGTGTTTTAGACTTTAGAAACATATGGAACAGTATGTATTTTTAATACTTGGACCAAATTCTGCACCCCCCCCCCCAAAAAAAAACCTTCTGATTGATGAAATAGAAACTTAGGAGTGGTAGCTTATAAGCTGTTCTCCCCCACAACCCCGGCTTGAAAATAGTGAACTTTCTATGCATTTAGAATGTGAGTATTAGTAATTTGTAAGTTACTTTTATCCCTGCTTTTTCTATCTTCATTTTTTAAAGTATGTGTTAGTATCTATGTTATTGTTTATGTTATTTATTTATTTATTTATTTATTTATTTATAGCATTTCTATGCCACCCCCATCGCAACAAAGCCTCGGGGTGGTTCACAAAGGATACATAAATACATAAATAATAACAATGTAACAATTTTAAAAATTGTTTAAAAACCCCCGGTGCATTCTCGGCTAAAAATTTTAAAATCCTATTAATCCAAATAATTTAACAATTAAAATAAGTTTTAAATAAAAAGGTCTTAGCCTGGCGCCAAAAAACAAATAACGACGGCACCAGGCGGACCTCTCTGGGGAGCGCATTCCATAGATGGGGCGCCACCGCAGAGAAAGCCCTCCTCCGGGTACTCACCCTCCTAATATCATTCACAGAGGGTTCCCGGAGAAGGGCATCTGTTGCTGATCTCAAGGGGTGGGAAGGCATATATGGGCACAAGTGTTCCTTTAGATATTCCAGGTCCCAAGCCATTTAGGGCTTTATAGGTCATAACCAACACCTTGAATTGGGCCCGGACTTCAATCGGGAGCCAGTGGAGCTGACGGAGAACTAGGGTTATATGAGAACAACGCCCAGTCCCCATCAGCAACCTGGCAGCTCTATTCTGCACCAATTAAAGTATCCGGACCGTCTTCAAGGGTAGCCCCACGTAGAGCGTGTTACAGAAATCTAATCAGGAAGTTACCAGCGTGTGTGTCACTGTCGCCAGGCAATCGTTCTCCAGGAAGGGACGCAGCTGATGTATCAGCCGAAGCTGAAGGAAGGCGCTCCCCACCACCGCCGTCACCTGAGCTTCTAGAGACAGCTCATGGATTCCAGTATCTTCATGGAATTTACTGAATTTGTGGATTTAGATATGCTGCATTAGTTTGGTAGATGTAGTATAGACTAAGGAGGAAGATGTAGTCTACAGGGGAGGGGAAAGAGTGTAGTATTTGGGAAGGGTTTGAAGAGGAGAAAACTACTGTAGTGCCTGTTAAACTGCCAGACTATGCCCATTTATAACACTTTCTGCTGTTATGCCAGGCAACTTCCTTTATAACTAGTAGAGCATCCTATGGTAGTTTGCCTGGACCTAGCAAGTCTTTAGCAGTGGATTAGCAGGACTTTTCCCATTTTAAATTCTTAAGCCTCAAAGGCCCCCCTCTTCTTCAGACCTCTGTGCTCTGTTGTACAGTTGGACGGACACATAGTGATGAATGCTAGGCTATTTTTTACTTAAACTGGTCTCTTGATTCATATTGTGTCTTGTCACCTGGTACAGCAGCAGCAAGTCAAAATATGTATTTCTCACTCATAGAAGCTCATACCCATCTGCTCTCAACTAAAACTCCTGTCACCATTTTTAATTAGTTCTGTTCTTCACTATGGTCTCTGCAGCACACTCTGCACATCTGTGCCTGTTCCGAACCTCAACTTGGGAAACTTTAATTGATGAGGAACTTTTCATGAGAACCCGCACTATTCCAGTGCACAAGTCCTACTGGATTCCCACCTAATTCCTCCAGTCTCTCTTTGATTACTGTAATAGTTGCCTTGTGAGGGAAGTTTCTGGTCTTGCGCTACATTGTGCTTAATTGAGATTCTTACCTTTTTCTTCTCTATGCTTCTCCTTTGGATTAGTGTTTTCATTTTCATGTTTTAATGCGGGGAGCATTCTGTTATTCACATGCCCATTTGGGGGCCTGCGTTCCTGAAGTGTGTCATTTATGTTGGGAAACAAAGCAAGACTCATAATGTAAGTATCAAAATGGTGCCCAGTAACTCTTGTCCCTTCTGCACGTATGATAATGAACTCTTCAGTCCAAAGATCACCCTGGTAATTGGCAGCCCTTCAATTGACAGCAGTGCAAGACAAGATTTCGGTTATCTTAACCTTATGGTCTGTCCTGACCATCTAGGTGTGGAGCTTTGGATAAGGAGGGAAAGATGTTGGAGCTGTTTCCAAGGTACACAATACCCTGGCAGACTCTGTCTCCTTCTCTCACCCCCTCCTTTGAACACCCTTTGTACCCGTTCTCCAGGATTACTGTTATGACTTTGGAGACAGAGCAAGCACAGTTCTTTCTATACTGAGTGCAAGGGTAGCAAACAGGGTTGTGAGCACTGATCCCCATATCTGCGGTCAGAGCTTTTTTATGCTCCTGAATCTGGGAACCCAAGGAACCCTGTAGTTCGCTACTGGGGCCCACAAGATCACTCTTCCGGAGTTATTTCTGGGCCAACTTTTGCTTTTTGGTCTTATGACTATTGTGGCAGACAGATAAAACTATTTGTTTTCAACAACTCTTCACATTGTGCATCTTCTCTTTCTATTCCTTGGAGCATTTTTAGCTTAGTCTAAGTCAAAGAGTAGATGGAAGTTCAATATAGAGAAGACATGAATGCTTGCCTGATCATGACATCATAACTAGGCCAAGGGCCCTTTGGCTACTGTCCTAGCATGCCTCAACTCACTTAAGGGTGGCCAGCTATCATTTTAGTACTAGTAATTTGTGAACTGAGCACTTTCATTTGCAAAATGCCTTACAGTTTTTGTGCAATCATCTACAGACAACTCCTCTTAAGATCAGTGTTCTTTCTAGTTTTCAGAAAGATAACTGAAACTCAAATAGGGCCTCAGTGACTTTACAGCATAAATGAATCTAAAATTTAAAATTTTCTCAAGCCAAAGCCTGATACACTCTTAACTGTGTTCATGCCTTGCATCTTTCAGAAGCCTCATTCATCCAAAAATATCATTCCTTTTAACTGTACAAGCTTCAGGGGCAATTGATGCAGATAGACCTTTTGGCATTTTGCTGCATTATGTGGAGTAGTTTCATTTTCTAACAGTAAATTTATGTATCCATTGCCTGCAGAAACCATTTAATTTCAGTTGCAAAACTGAACCGTTGACTATCTCTCAAGAACCTGTTGATTTTGCAATCTCACTTGAGGATTATTCACCCTGACTTTCTGCCCGCCAATTACATAAAATTTATTGGAATGTGTACATGTGGCTATTATGATTATGCAAAGACAGCTTTAAGACATAGTATCAAGTTATGGAAAAAGAAATATGCATGTATATGAAACATGTAAAAGTTTGGATATAATGTGATGCAAAGCTGAAATGAAATAAGAGCATAGAAGAAGTTGTGCTGGATGAGGCCAAAGGCCTATTTGGTTCAGCATTCAGTTCCTACAGTTGTAAGTGGGATAGATACTTATGGGAACCCTACGCACAGAACGCTGCAGCATCCTACTAGGCATGTTTCCCAGCATGGAGTATTGTGCAATCTGCAGGTATATTGGGAGTAAGTGCAAAATGTATGAGACTGAACAATCATTTTTGTTTAACATAGTGCCTGTGTGGCCATAAACTTGCTTGTCCTTCAGTGCTGATTATGAATTACAAGTACTGTGTGGATTCATGACTGTAAATTTCTTGGTCGGCAGGAACTGGTTCTTCGCAGTCAGCTTCCCAGTATGGAACAAGATGGCTCTCAGAATCCAGTATCATCTCCTGGAATGTCTCAAGAACTGAGAACAATGACTACAAATAGTTCAGACCCTTTTCTTAACAGGTTAGTAGGGATAGTTACTAGTGGCTTTGTTTTGCCAGAGATGATGATTTTCAGAGTCTGTTTGGTGCATGTAACAGTTTGTTTTGAAGATCTGTCTGTTCTAAGAACAAGCTGTATACGGCTCTTGCCTTAAATGGCAAGTCCAGATTTCTTTCTTTCTTTTTTTTAAAGCTGAGGATTAAAAGCTGTCTCCTGTGGGAGGAAGTCAACTGTTCAGACTTGTAGGAAGGGTTAGTCTTCAAAGTCATAACATGTTTGCCCAGGCACAAGTCAATTGATGCACGGCCATTTAGAATTACTGACTCGGAAAAGCTTTTCAAAAGCTAGCAATGAAGTTTACTGTGGGGCTCTATTTAAGGAGTTTCTGCAGCATTCCTGGTTCTATTTTTATCCTCTGTAGCATTGACACAGGAAACAGTGATAAGATTTTACATATCATATTACAAGGCTTATACACAAGCCTTTTCGGGCATTCACTTCTGTGGCCTGTGGATTCTTTTTAATAATGCTATTAATCTAGTTTTGATTTTTTTATAAAAGTTTCTAGACCACATTGTTGTACAGATAAGCTTGAAACAGGAAATCTCTATACTCAAGCATCATCTAAAACCTATTGATAGACTTGTAAAGTTCTCTGATTTTTTCTTAAGTCAAGTATATAACATTATGGGTTAAGTTTCAACTTTTCCAACTATATACCTCAGTCATAAATACCATGCAGCTTCACTGTATATAACTATTCAGTATTTTTGAGGAGAGAATGTTTTCAAGGATAAACAGACTGTAAGCATCCTATGAAGTTCCCATTTCTGATCTATTCTTCACTTAGTTTTTGATTAAGGGTTTCTTTCCCAGAATGAGTTTAATAACTAAATTCTAAATCCACTTCTGATGGCCCAGCTTCATTTCCAACCCAAAAATTATAGGAAAGGAAGATGCTTTTTCTCTTCTATCCATTTCCAGGGAAGTCTATTATAACAGATGGAATTGCATTTATTCTGTTCCACAATTCTGATACCTTTTTGATGGTCCGGTGGATCTCTGTAGTGTTATGCACTTCTCTTTCAGGGTTTTATGAACACAGCCAAAGAAACTTTGTCCATCTTCATGTTTTAGATTGCATAACTTTATGGTGGGAACAGAATTCACCTTTCCTTGGTACAACCTAATGCATTAGATAATGAGGTCTGCAGTGTTTCTTCAAAAAATGTTTTAAAAACTTTTTTTTCCTTATAGTGGAACTTACCACTCAAGAGATGAGAGCACAGATAGCGGCCTCAGCATGAGCAGTTACAGTGTCCCCAGAACTCCAGACGATTTCCTCAACAGTGTTGATGAAATGGATACAGGTTTGTTTCATTTCCTTCGCATTGAACTCTTATTGGATGCCTCTCATAGTCTGGCTAACTATTAATGAAGAGGAGGAGTAATGCCAAGATTATTTCATGCTGTTGCCCCAGCTCTTTCCCAGAGGCAAGAATATATTTGTTTTAAGTTTCAGGAAGGTAAATTTCAGTTGAACATTAGAAGCATGTGTCTAATGGCAAGTAGAAAGGTACTCCCTTCCAATTCATCATTAGCAATGTTGGACTAGTTCAATGGGCAACACTCTGCCCTGCCTTGCATCCAAAATGCCCTACTAAACCCCTCCCAACTCTGTCTTTGTGAAATCATCTCTTTTTATCCTTTTCTGGGCTGTATAATGTTTGCTGTCACCGTCCCCACCCCAAGTGTGGAATTTTTTATCTGACTGCTTTGGTGTGAATTCTTATGACTTTTCAACCTTGGTAAAATGCATTTATAGCCTGATCTGAAAATATAAGTTCTTCTTTGTGGTCTCTATGCATCACGCATACAGGCTCTATGCCTGTGTGGAGCCTGTTGCCAAGATGATTCTACAGCTAAATACCAAATTGCAGCTGTAATAAACAGGAAAAACAAGGTTATTTAATTTATTTAAAACATTTTTATCTGTCTCTTTAATAGAAAACGCTTCTTAGCAGTTTACAACAATACAGTATAATTTGCCTTCAAATTTATAAGTTTATACAGAGCACTAAAAGAAAAGGGAGGGAGGGAGGGAGGATGAACAAATGCAACATGGGCACTGGTTTTTAATTAAAGACAACTAAGATAGGTCTGCTGACACAGGCTGATTGCACCTCTAAAACATGATCTTCATCTTGGCCTTCCCTCCTTCCCTGGAGAATTGGCTTGGATGGTCTCTGTAATAGGCCGAGTCCAGCAAGGCAACTGCAAACATAGCAGAAATGGCATTTGTCTTGCTGTCCACTGCTGCCTTCAGAGGCACTTGGCTCTGGTGGCCTCTGTCCATGGTTTTGCAAGCACGTGATTTGCAAGTGGTATTCCAGTTGTAGGAGTTCCAGTTAACGGGAGTAGAGTGTAGAAAATATGGTATACATTAAATACATTAAAAGCTACCTGTGCATTTTGTTTTTAAAATTGTATTTTTATTTTAAAATATCGTTATACCACCCTTCATTAAAATGTATATCAGCTATTTACAGGGTTGCTGAGGGTGATAGGAAGTTTTGATTGGTAAAGTGATGGGTTCTATTATTCAATATGATGATTGGCTACGGGAGCTCCCACTATTGCTGTGAGGAATGCCTGTATTCTGCACACTTGTGCTTCATGGGTGCTTAACCTGTAGCATGATGCCACACCTAGCACGGGCAGTAATGATTTGGGGTATTCTTGGACAGGAACAGGAAGCTCTGTGGCCTGGCTGTAGTATAGTTGCACCTATATGCTCACTTCTTAGTACTTGGTAGATTACTGAGGCAGTGGGGATAGTAAGGCATAGGTCGAACAAGCAACGTGATACCTTTTGTATGTTTTAGATGGGAACTCACATAAACTGAGTTGCTAAGGTTAATGTGAAATATAGTCAAAACTTGTGGCATGCCCCAGGTTGTCATTGTGGTATAGTGCTGGGCTTGGACTCAGGAGAACCGAGTGCTAGTTATTACTCAGCCATGAAGTCCACTGCTGACTATGGGCCAGTCACTGCCTCTCAACCTAACCTACCTCACAAGATTGTTGTTCGGACAAAATAGGAAGAGAACCATGTAAACCACCATGGGTTCTTTGCAAGAAGAAAAAGGGAGGAATATAAATGCAATGTGATGCGTGCATGTACCGTGTCCATATTTTCATCTTGTGGCACATTTGCCAAAAATGTTGACCACAACTGTGGTACTGCTGAAGGCCACGTATATGAAAAACCACAGAAGGGTACAAAGGTTAATGAAGAGAATGATCAGGCAAAACTGGCTTGGGAAACATGATATATTCCACTCATTGGCTAGTATGGGACCAGCTCCTCAGTATATCTAGATAACATGCTATGTGGTGCTTTTGATATATTTAACATTCTTGCTTTTACATTCATATTGTATCTAGGTGACAGTATCAACCAAAGCAATATCCCCTCCCATCAGAACCGTTTTCCAGACTACCTTGAAGCCATTCCAGGGACTAATGTGGACCTTGGAACGCTGGAAGGAGATGCGATGAATATAGAAGGAGAGGAACTGATGCCAAGCCTACAAGAAGCTTTGAGTTCCGATATCCTTAATGACATGGAATCCGTATTGGCAGCCACCAAGCTAGATAAAGAAAGCTTTCTTACCTGGTTATAGGGGCCTCAGGGAGATGGAGTTTGAAATCTTTGAAGGATCTAAGGAGATAAGACACATACCTGATGTTGAGAACAAGCCTGTGCGGCAAAGGCTTCTTGGCTTATGATCAGAGAGGAACAAAAGTAAATGAACAAAATACTCCAGATTCTTTTCATCTATGTTTTGTTCTTCCTTGTCCAATCGCTGCTGTTATACTGCTGACCTCTTTCACAGTTGACTCTGAAGAATTAGATGATTTGTTTTATTATCTTTTTTTTAATTTTTGCTGTTGCAACTACTGTTCACCAGGGTGGTAATGGAGAAGGAGAGGATGGGGAAGTGGCAAGAAAGATAGCCCAGTCTTAGTTTTGGATGATGACTGCCATTCCTTTTGATCCTGCTACCTGTCTCATATTCTTTCATCTACTAATATGGATTTTGAAGAGTTTAACTCTGCACGTTCCCACTTGTAGCTGACTGCTTGTTGTTTGCTCTGTTGCCCATGGCAAGCAGCAAAAAACACATACTGGTCTAGCAAGCCAAAACTAATACATCTGAGGCAAAAAAGTCAGTACTGATTTGGAGATAAGTATCGAAAGGAGGCTGGAAACCTTTTATTGTTGGGCACAATCTACCAGACACCATGGCTGCTTGATCAACATGGAAATAAATGAAAAACACTAGGCAGTGATGTCTGTTGGGTTCTGTCCATTGTTAGCTGCTGGCTAGTTCTCTCAATTATCTTGTTGACATTTAATGGCACCATAAAGTAGTCCTTTTACATAAAACACATTATGAGTCTTGATCATTGCCTCTTATTCTAGCTTTTCTTTTCAAATTTTAGATTTTTTTATTATAGCAGTAGTTTAGGAATTTAACTGTTTTTGGTTTTGTCTTTTTTGTTTTTGTATTTTTAAATAGTGAAATCTAAATTTCCTGATTTCAACTAGTCTTATTTAAGTCTGAGATGGTTGACTTTTTTATACCTAACTAGTGTAGCCAGTGAATAGCTATAGTTCTATATTTTGCTTGTAACTTTTAAAAAGATAGCTTTGAATGTATTCATTAGACTAAAGGATTGCCGGCTTATCTTTCACACCTGTGCCAGAATTGGAAGCAAAGATTCTCTTAGGGCAAACTTTACAATGTGTAACTCTTACTGAACCCTATTCCTAAATGCACCTATATGAACACTAATCTCACTTTTTTTCAAAAGAACTGCATCCACCTAAAGCGTTTTTAGGATTGTCACTTAAAGGTGGTCAAAAGCCATATGGCTTTTATGATGTTTTAAATGGAGCGAACAATACATTATGAGTCTTCATCAAGGGACAGCTCCTGGGGAAGCTTTTAAATTTTGATGAAACTGATAGCTTGAAATTCTGCAGTCCCTGATGGATGAAAATGGAAGCTTTCCTATTGTTAGTTTTCTGGTATTCGTCTGCACTGTCATCTGAGTTTACAATGCTAGTAATGCAAACACTAAAGCTACAGTGCATCAGAATCACTAACAAAGAAGCCCATGGTGCATATAGAAGACTGTAAAGATATGTGTTAGATGGTGACACGAGCAAGTGGTAGTGCATTTTAGTTGTAGAGATTAGTTCTGCAGTTGAGGAGTAAGTACATCTCGATACCATTATTTTTAACAGGAAATGAATTATGTTTTTTTCCAAAGAGTATTTTTTAAGTGAACAAAATGAGCATGAATCAATGTTTCAGTATAAGCTATGACTTTTTATTACTATTATTCTTTAAATACATTGGCACCAGTAAGTACCTTAAGAATCTGTCAACATTCCCATTAATTTGTTGTCCTTATTTTCAAGGGTTTGTAATATGGCCTTCAAACAACTTTTCAGGTTGAAACATGGTATGTTCAGCCTAGGAAAGATTTTTTTTAAAAAATGTTGAAGTTATTTGGCCATTTCTACTTGATGTAGAAAGTGAAATTAACAGATAAGACCCAGAGCTTTGCCTGTGCCATTAAGCCACAGCCAAATACAAGGATGGACAGCTTGTGGCCATCCAGATATTTTGGCCTACAGCTCCCATCAGATCACACTCCTGCTGAGTATTCTCTGTTCTTTGTCTTCCCACCCTTTTCCCAGAACTGACACTAAGTATGAATAGACTTGATAAGTCATACAAACGGGTGCAACAACACCTGCCAGTTGTGCAGTACATACAGTTATTAAATAAATACATATCTATAAATGAAGTAAGGTGAGAGATTTGAAGTTCCTGCATTTTGGTTTACCCATTTCTGTTTGATACTGGAGGACCATTTGTACCTATTTGAACATCAGGTAGGAACTGCTGAATTCCTATTCTGGGTATTGCATGGAGGTGCATAGAAACATTGTTTGTTTTTCTTGGTTTTTGCTTCAAAGTTGGAACCTATTTTAGGTTTTGCCTTGATGTACATAAACTACACAGCTTATACAATATTCAAGCAGCACTGCTCGAGAGGTACTGACATTAAACTGGGAATTCTTGAATTTCTCTTAACACGAAGCTGTTTATGCAGTACTTAATTCGAGTTACTTTTTAAGCCTCTTCACTTGATGGAAATGTGCCTTAGAGTTTACTTGTACTGTTGGCAAAAGAAAAACAAACCAGGCTGATTGGAAGTTTTTGTTCAGATCTATCACTTGACAAAGTGGCTTAATGTTTTTTCTATTGAAACGTAAAAAAGCAAAGTGTTATGGGTAGTATTTTATATTGATTGGTGTATATATTTAAACAGATTACAGTCCTAACTTTATAGTTTCTAGGGTTTTTTTTAAGTTTAGTGTGTTCAGGATGCAATTGAAACTTATGAATTCTTGTGTATGTCTGGAAGCATAACTGCTTTGGAATATGTACCATTTCTATAAATTGTATGGATCAAAAATTGTACCAATCAGTGTTGGAACTCAAGCAATGCAAGAGATGGAGAGACAATTTGAGTGATTAAAGGTAACCTAGCTTTTGCACATCTGGAAAATCCATATTAAAACAACTTCACTAGCAATCATGGGATGTTTTTGTACCACAGGCAGGTGTGTATGTCTGTCAGAAGTGACACTTTTTCCCTTTAGCTGAAAAGCCTCCATATTTTAAAATGTTTTCTATTAGAGAACTCCGAAACACAACTTTTTCAAATATATATATTGTTATGAATGTTATATTTTCTTTAGATGTAAGAGCATGCCTCTGTTAGGTACCATAATAAAATTCTGTTACATTATTTTCTTATGTAATACATTTTTCCATTGCTTTTTTGTTTTACATGATATAAATATATACTTTGCGCTTATGATGTCTTGCTTGGTTTTTAACATTAAATAGATCCTAATATTTGCATGTGCACTCTGCCACATTTGCTTTGGCTGGAAGAGAGGAAAGCAGGCACACACATGTCCCTTTAACTAAGAATCCAGCAAAAGTAAAATACAGTTTGATTCAAGTCTCTGTGTTAATGTGCTCTTAAGTGTCAATTCGGCATCCAATGAAGGCAGTCTTTTATCTGAGGTGTGGAGAAGTGCATTGCTATGTACATGGTACAACTAATTCAGATGTTTGAGAATGTGTTCTCTTCCACTACATGTTTGCCATATATTTATTTACCATATCAATTCACGTATATCTTGCACTCACTCCAAGTATATGTCAAGCTACTGGCAAAGTCAACAAGACCATTTTCAGCCTGTTTAAGATTGCAGAATCCTTGAGCAATGCTTACTGAAACTTTTAAGGGTGCCATTCTAAGGAAATTTAAACAGAAGAAAGATTTACAGCTCTTAGTAGGTCCCAGCCTGTTGTGCTGGTTTGGGTGATAATAATTGTACATATTTCCTATCTTATTTACCAATTCTCACAGCTGGTACAGAACATTAGTGGGCCAACTCTCAAAGCCAGCTCATAATTTATCTCATTACAGCAGCTTGGACCCTGTAAGTTACTTGACTATATTGTCAATACAGCATCCATTACCATTCCTGTCACCTTCTTTAAGATCGGTGAAGGATGTTTTTAACACTACTATCATCATTGCCACCATCAAGACTTGTGATTGATGCCTCCATTTGATTGTGGAAAAAGAAAACTCTCATGAATTGGCTGCTCCTAGAGGTCACCAGAATCAATTATGCTGCCTGGAAAGGCACCAGCTGATCCAGAAGTCAACTAAACAAGCTGAAGAGAGGAAATGGAAAAGTGAACTGGCAAGGAACCAGCTCCAGAAATACAGATGAAACCATTTAGTGAGACCAGGGAAAAAACCAAGGCAGCACAGAGATAAAAAGGAGTCAAGCCAAATGGGAAAGAGGGAATGTTGCTGAGAGGAGTCAAGCTAAAGAAGAAGTAGCAGCCATTCTATAGGCTACAAGAGTACACCAAGGGTGAACCCATACTTCCCAGATGGGGAAAGAAGCTATACCCTTGGGCTTGGAAACTGGGAGGAAGGAAAAGAAGGCGAGGAGGACACTGTTAGGCAAAAGACAACGTGGAATCCTGAGAATGCTGTTTCAAAGCTTCTAGAGGCACAAGTTGTGTCTTGGGACAGACTTCAGGACCCTTCCCCAGTTTAGCATCAAGTCCAGCAAACTCCAAAAAAGTGAGGAAAAAATAAAGGGAACTTACCTGACCCATCCTGAACACAGATTATTCTCACCACCAGGACTACATCCAATGTGACCTTTAATTAGTGGATTGCATTTGTGTATTGTACTGATAACATAAATGCCCATTTTTATTTGTAGACTCTATCCATTTGAGGTTTTCTTCATGGAACCCTAATGACTCTCACCCCTGCCCCCCCCGCCCCAAGTGTGTACTTAAATTTCTTTGTACCTGCATCTTGGTATGTCTGTTAACCTGAAGTTTGATCCATAGAAGGATTGAAGTGGAACAATTGTGTTGTCAATACATTGATGGTGTCAGAGGAGCTGAAAGCTCTGTGTGGTGACCCCCCCCCCTGGCCTTTTTATGAGGGTCATATGTTCACCCATTGCTGTGTGTCACTTTTTGCAGCTGTCACACCCAAAGAAAGCCCACTAGAAAATGTAAATAGACTTCTAAATTGCCTTACTTTTTTAAGGACATCAGAATCACCATGCTAGATCAGACCAAATGCTACAGCAACCTCCACCTGAAGTCTAAAATGGCACAGTTCTAGTTCAAGTTCACAGAAGGCATCGAAATGCATCCCTCTTGCATTTTGCATGCAGTGTGTGTGTGTGGTGGGGAGAGGCTGCATTACCACTTTTTCTGAATGTGTGACTGCCTAAACAGCATTTTGCAGCCTGGTGGAGACTGAAGTGCCCAAATACCTCTTGAGTACCTGTGTCTTCCTGCAGGTGATTGAGGTTGATGGAAAGAAGAGCTTCACTTGCTAGTATTTGCAGTGATGGTAGGTAATTATCACTTGCCTGCCATGATGTATTGCAGATTTTTGGAAAATAACTGACTTTTCCATAACCTTAACCTTGACTTTCTGAAAAACAATGACATATGATTTTAGGGTGTGTAGGCAAAGCTGTCTCCTGGACTAAACTACAAATACCCTGGCAGTTCCCAAGGTCTTGTATGGATTTACAGGCCCCTTCAGTGTGGCCCAGTACAAATAATGCCAAAACAATAAATTTTCTCCATAAACAATGAGAGCAAGATCTTGCTTTTCTATAATGCCTTTGCTCCAGTTGTTTGAAACTAACAGTGTGGTCCTTTGAGCCCATTAGCACAAGGCTCCCTAACAAAGATTAGGATGGGAGTGGGGGAACAGGATGAAACAACTAATCTGGTGCTTTCTGAAAGCTTATTTTATATCTTTGGAGGTGATGGTGGTCACAGCACATATTTGGGAATAGCAAGTTCTTACTGTCCCATCCCCATTTGGAGTTCTGTTTCTTTATAGAATCCTCCCCTCTTTTCAAACTCCTTTGTCCCTGAACCAGTATAAGTCTATATGCTGTTCATGGGTTGGCACAGTTGACTTACACGGTCATGGTGCAATAGCTACCCTGGCATTTTGCAGAAAGCATCCATCCGTAAACATATACTAGGAATGTGCATCAGATTCGGATACAGTGAGTGGAATTTAGCTCCTTTTTATAATTTCTGGTGCTTTCCAAGGCAAAGCAGGCTTTCCTCCATGGCCACAAAAAGCAACACTGGGCCAGAACAAAGCTGCTGTTGTTCAAGTTCAGACACATGAACCTTCTGCCTTCTCCCCAGATAGTGACTTTTGGTTTCATTTCCAAAACAGTAATGATGTGGGTGGAAGAGGGTGAAGTTAAGTGACTGAGAGATCCATATTCTAGTCCTGGGATGCATTTAGTGCTGGAATCACTGACTTGAAGAAGGGCAAGGAAGGGACCACAAGATACACCACCAGCTTTCCTTATGAAAAACGTTTTACACTGATTTTGAATCATAACTCCTTAGTCCCTGAATCTGTCCTTTTGAAACTTTGCTTGCAGCAAGGCTTGGCTACTTCTAAGATATGGGCAAATTTTCATTCAAATACCAAGAAGCAAATTGCTTTGTACCCGCCAAAAGCAATTGAGAAAATCCTTTCCACATGAGTTGCTGCGCCTATACTGTTAAAACTTACCCGTTTTCTTAGGGCTACCACTACGTTGTCATGTTAAGGGGAAAAAGTCCCAAAAAAGTTATAGCCATTCCTTGATATCTTGAATTAGTCAATGGGAGGCACAACTCAGACCTCTGAATCCCAACTTGGGTTTGGTATCTGCATTGAAACAGCCTGCAAATCTGTTCAAATAGAAGTACATAACGATTTTCTAAAGCACCAAATCAGGATCTGAGTTGAGTTAGCCCACACACTGAAATGTTCTGGTTGCTCTCTGTTCATTTCCTCCTCTTTCAAGCAGCAAAAGCAAGACCTAGGTGTGTGCATATGACAACATACTAGATAGGCATCTCCTTACCTTATGTTCTGAGTCCTGAAGCTCCTAGCTTTTTTAAAAAGGGGTTGTTCTAGATCATACAGTAATCAAAATAAGTGCGATATGTGTGGAGGAGCAGAAGTCCCACAATTCAGGCTTCGTATGTGTGCTTCAGTTAAGCACTCATAAAAATGATCAAGATCACACTCACAATTTCAATCCTCATAACATCTTTCTAAGGAAGGCCAATATTATTTCCTCCCATTGCAGGTGTGGTGGTCAGACTGAGAAAATGCTAGCTTGACTATGAAATGCAATGCTCAGATTCTCGATTTTAGGTAAATTCAGGGGTAGGTAAATTACTCTCCAGAAGTCATATGTGGCCCCCCAGAGCCATTTTTCTAGGCCTCAATGTGCTTCTCAAAAGTTTTACAAGAGTTAAGAAATGCATTTTATTCTCCTCTCTCTCTCTCTCTCTCTCTCTCTCTCTCTCTCTCTCTCTCTCGTGTGTGTGTGTACTATTTTAATCCAGCATCTAAATATACATAATGCTATTATGCTGGAACATGTGTGCTACATTCAGTGTGAAATCTTGGTGTTACATGGTGTTCGCAAAATCAGGAGCTTCCAGGTGGAAGGCATCATACAGCCATTCCATCTTTTTCTCCTTAACAGGCCTTCTGCAATGAGTGAAAAAGAGGGGAGATACATGAAACTTTAGGAAAATGCAGGAGGATTTTGAGCAGAAGACACCATTATATGGAACTGCAACCCCATAAAATGCCTGAAAGCACCCTGAATCTGGCCACACTGGATTTCAGAAGTATTTTTACTAGTTTCAAGCTATGGCTATTTGGCAGTGATATTTCAGAATAACTAAAACTATAAGGATATTTCAGATCCTGAAACTATCTGGAGAACCACCATGTTTCCGATAGCAGCACCCACATTATGTCTTTGAACTCTCCGATCTTCACTGGACTTACGGAGATGGGAGGTCAGTTGAATTGGAGGAAAACACAAACAGAATGACCCTAGACAGTGTCTAGGGAGCCAGAGGATTCTTCAGATTCTGAGATCCAGTGTTGGAAGAGAGTGCCAATTTAGGAGGTAGGACTCCAAGCTGAGATCTCTAGCTCCTGGCTGCTGTTATAGAAAAAAGCAAGCCAGCTACTTCTCTGAAGACAGAAAAGTGACCTCACAGAAAGGATTTGGGGTTGTTTAGGTAGGGCAGGCAGGATCCTGGAGCCACTAACATTTATGATATACTGGTGGCCTCACATCCTTTCCTCTGCAGTGCTGCAGCCAGACATCTAAAGTCTCCCAACTAGCTGACTTGCAGAGTGGGAGAAGTGGGGACATGAAGATTGTTTATGCTGTGGTGCAGAGGATGTTTATACGTCTCCAG